TCAAATGAGAGAATATCTAGCAAGTTCCTACTACAGTGACTGGCACATAGTAGGCACTTCACAAATGCTTGTTTTTCCTTTCCTGATTGTCCTTCTCTAGTTTATCTCCAGCATATCAATGTCCTTCCCAAATGATGATCTGAATGCCCGGAACTTAACCCAATTCTTCAGATGTAATTTCACCATGATAGAGTAGTCAAGGATCATATTAGCTCTCTCAGTTGCCACATCAATTGACTCATACTGAGTCAATAAAAACTCCCAGATCTTTATCAGACAAACTGATTTCAAACCGACCTCCCACATTTTGTATTTGTGAAGTCAGTATTTTCAACTTATGTCAATTTGATAAACTTGCCAGTTATAGTTTTATGCAAGTTACTAATAGAAATGCTCATTACCACAGATCCCTAGGCCACTCCATTCTGGATTTCTTCCAAGCAGTCGTTCAAAAAGTTCTAATTTTATCTAGCTGTATTACTGTCTAGCCCACATTTCTTTATCTTTTCCGCAACACTTTACCAAATGCTTCTCTAAAATCTAGGTAAACTTTACCTAAAGTATTCTCCTGAGCTTCCAGTTTAACAACCCTATCAAAAAAAAGGAAGATTAGCCTGGTGTGACCAATTTTTGATAAAACCTCTCTGGCAATTTGTAAAAAACAAAAAAACAAAAACCTACTTTCTTTTCTAGGTGTTATCACTACTTATTGCTCTTTAGTAATCCAGTGTAGATGTTTCCCCCCAGGTCTATAATTTTAATTTTACTTCCTTCATTTTTTTGAGAAGCAAATCAGCATTTCTCTTTCTCCAGGCCTCCTGTGCCTCACTTCTAAATTTTAGTCTATTTTCTCATTCAGTACCAGAGGATGAGGTTTATCTGGACCAGACGACTTGAATCCATTAATTTCTGTCCTTATATGCATATAATAACAACTCCCTATTTCTGGTTGTATTCCTTCTGGTTCCAAAGTCATCCTTCTTGGCAGAGAAAATAGACTAAAATTTAGAATTGAGCAGCTCTGTTTTCTTTGTCATCTCTTATCATTATCCTCTCCATCCCAAACAGCAGTCTTGTTTTTTCTTTGATCCTCCTGTTTTCCCCCAATGTAGCTTAAAAAACAACAAAGAGGCCACCTTTTTTGTTACTCTTTTTCTTATCAGTCAGCTTAACTGAGCACTAGCACTCCTGACACCATCTTTTACAAGATGTGCTACACTTTGGCAAGCATCATTTCTTCCCTGTCCTTCTTTTCCATCTACCTTCTTATCCTTTTCAAATCTAAATTGCTTGGTGAGTCTTTTGTGAAAACAACTTTTTTCCTCCTCATCAGAATTGTTTCCCTTTGTGCCTGCAGAGTCTCATTCTTTAGAGTTTCTTATAGTCATGGGATGGTTTTCTCTATAGAATTTTAGTCTATGGAATTTTATTCATTATTTGTTACATTTAGTCTGTGGAATCCTACCTGTCCTTCCTCTGAACTCTGTGAAATCCATTCTTCCCAAATCCAGGAGACTTTCACCTTCTCTTTCACAAACTCACAGAGAGATAGTGATCACTTCCCCCACAAAATTCCCATCATTTCTGCCTCAGAAAGCAGTTCCTCCTTTAAGTGAGACTCAGATTCAGGAGGGAATTTCCCTTTGTCAGTTCCTCTTCCAGCAGTTCCCCCTAATTTCCCAACTTGATCAAACTTTTATTAAATACATGTTATGTGCAGGACTGTGGGGGATATACAAAGATAAATAACATATGGTCTCTTGTCCTTGGGGTGTTGCAATCTAGTAAGGGAATAGGACACATATGTAAATACTGATGGCGAGTTAAAAAATTTGTCAGAGAAGCACAAAGTACTTTTTTAGGTCCAAGAAGGAAGAAGCATCATTGACTGAATAGGTTATAGAAGGATTAGTAGAGGCAGTGGTGTTCAAACTTGGCCGTAAAGAATAGGCAAGATGGGGGGGGGCAGCTAGGTGGTGCAGTGGATAAAGCACTGGCCCTGGAGTCAGGAAGACCTGAGTTCAAATCCAGCCTCAGACACATAACACTTACTGGCTGTGTGACTCTTGGCAAGTCATTTAACCCCAATTGCCTCACCAAAAAAAAAAAAAAAAAAAGAATAGGCAGGATTTTGACTTGAAAGGTAGAAATGAGGAAGAGAGTGAGGACATTCCAGGTGTAACAAATGATGTCAGCAAAAGTGCAGAAACAGGATATGTACCAGGGACAGTGAGCAAACTAATTTAATCAGAGCAAAGAGTATGCTGCACGTAGTGGGCATTTAGTAAATGTTTGTTGAACTATGTAGGGGAATCAAGTGAGAGGAGGCTGTAAAGGCAGGATGAGGCCTTGAATACCAGTCTGAGGAGCATGTTGGCAATGGGTACTGAGGCAGAGGAACATAGCCAGGGCCCCACACTAGGGGTGTACTTCAGAGGCTCCGCCCTCACCTGAATCAAACCAGACAGGGTAACAGACTGGATTGGAGCTTCATTCAATGGGCTGTCTTCCTGCCAGGCCAGAAGGGTCATGGCAAAGTCAGAGTTTGGGAGAATGAATGGCCCGGGAACATTTGGCAACACTGGCAGCCAATCAGCCAATGGGATCTGGATTTTTGTTTTGGTTCATTGCATCCATTTCCCTCTGGCGTTTGGCGTGGCTCTGGCTGTCACCAGGAAGCCTCACGATATGTCTGTATCTACCTTGTTCGTTATCTGCCAGGGTGTGCCTAGGGCACGTGCGGCTTCTGGGCTATATGTTGTCCCTCGTCCATGTCCTGTGCATTTCTTCTACTGATGGTTCAACAGCAATGATGATGTGTCTGGATGGTATGTCTGACTTAACATAATAACAGCCACTAGCATTTATATAGTTAGTTAAGGTTTATGTATATTATCTTTATATGTGTTACCTTACTTGATCCTCACAATAATCCTGTAAGGCAGATGCTGATATTATCCCCACTTATTGCTGAGAAAACTCATCAACAAATGAGGAGGTTCATTGCTTTACTAAGAGTCACACAACTAGTACGTATCTGAGGTAGGATTTGAACTCCAGTCTTCTTGATGCTAAACCTTACACTCAATCTCTTGTTATCTGAAGAGTGCCAAACAGTGAGAATTTTACTTGAGAAGTGAATAGGGATCCATTTAAATATTCGGGGAAAGGGAGTAACATATCTGTGCATACCATAGATTAATCTGACAGTGATTATGTGGAGACAATATTGGATGGGGAGTAGAGATAGACTATTTAGGAGGCTACCACAATAGTGGTAGATAATGAGAGCCTAGACTAGGGTGGTGGTAATGGTGACATAGAGGACATAGCTGGAAGAGATGCTGCAGAGGCCAAAATGATTATTTGTTGTTGTTCAGTGGTATTTGAAAACCCCATTTAGGGTTTTCTTAGCAAAGATACTGGAGTGGTTTGCTATTTCCTTCTCCAGTTCATTTTATAGACAAGGAAACTGAGGCAAACAGGGTGAAGTGATTTGCCCAGGGTCACACAGATAGTAAGTGTCTGAGACTGGATTTGAACTCAGGTCTTCCTGATTCCAGGCTAAAATTCCATTTTATCCACTGTGCCACATAGCTGCCCCTCCAATTGATGGGATGTGACAACTGATTGGGTGTGGGAAGTGAGAGAGGGAAGAACTAAAGAGAACATCAAATACTCAAATACTAGTGACTAAGTGAATGATAGTGCCACCAGCATCAATATGGAAGTCAGAGAGGAGCTTTGGGCAAAAGATCACTTGATTTCAGAAATAATGGATTTGAAGTACTGGTGGGAAATCCAGGTGCTGATGGACAGGCAGGTGATGTGGGTTTGGAGCCATGTAGATAAGGCAGGATCAGAGATTCTGGTTAATTATACTTCTTGCATATCTCTTGCATCTATCCATCTCTTCCTGCCCATTTCCACTGTCAGAACCCTAGTGCAAATTTGGGATTCATATTTGTTAAGTGATAATTAATGTTGCGGGAATAAGGTTACCAAGGGATGGGGTACAGAGACAGATGAGAAAAATGTTAATAACAATTCTCTGGATCTGCTTCTGGACTCCTCTAGTCCAGGGGTGGAAAACCTGCAGTCTCGAGGCCACGTCTGACTCTCTAGGTCCTCAAGTGCGGCCCTTTGAATCCAAACTTCACAGGACAAACTTGGATTCAGTCAAAGGGCCGCACTTGAGGACCTAGAGAGCCACATGTGGCCTCGAGACTGCAGGTTTTCCACCCCTGCTCTAGTCCCCACACAAAAGCATGCAGACCAGTGGGTTTCTAGCAGAGGTTCACATCTTCCTGGAGTCATAAAGAATGACAAGGACCCAGGGGGGAAAACCCAAACACATACAATGTATTGGCAAAGTAGGGATGGCCACTGGATAATGAAGGACCAAAGTTTCTCAGCAGGATGGATTTGATGTGAGCTCATTCCTAAAGCAGCTAGGTCAAGAATAGTCAGTAGAGAAAAGCCCCCCGTGCTGGGTTTTAAGGCCAGGGCAGCAGGAGCACATCCTGGTTTGATAGTGGTTCCTTTTTGAGCATGGACAAGTAGTTCTTCATAAACTCCATGGGGGCCATTTGGCCACAGCTGTGGCAACTTTGAGCTGTTTTCAAGAACCTTGAATGTCAGTTTGGGCATCTTGGATTTTATTCTGTGAACAACGGAGCACTGCTTTTGATATTCGATTAGGAGTGTAATGAATTAAGAATATGATGAATATATTTTAAGAAGGTTAATCTGATGGAAAAGACAGGATGGATTGGGTAGAGGAGAGATAAAGACAGAGGGATCAGTTATGTTATTATTGTAATAATCTAGATACAGGGGTATCCTAGAGCCAGCTTGAACTGACTTATGAGCTCTATTTGTCAAATTTTCTGGGTGAGCATTTATACCTTGGAAATCTGCAAATGCTACAAGTCAGGGTTTGCTTTATTGTTTTGTTAATTATTGACTTAAGAAAGTAATGGATAAAATGTTAATAATCCAGATTAAACTTAAGTATCGTGCATACCTTTTTTTTTTTTTCAGAGAGCCAGTTGTTAAACATTTGCTGACACATCCCACCTCAACGTGAGGTAACTAGGGTATGGGCCAGCATGTGGGCAATGGGAATGGGAATGGAAAGGTAATCAAGAATATAGCAGCTGTTACAAGGGGGGAAATGGTTAGAACTTGGTGATTGAATATCTCCAGATAAAGGAGATGGGGGCCTTAGAGATAATAACCATGCAATAAATAATTCTTGAATAAATGAAGGTTGAAGAAGACAGCAAGGTCTTGCATCTGTTGATCCAGGAGACTAAAGGCAAAGGAGAAAGCAGTGAGGTGCTCTGAGAATATTTGAGAAGGGAGAGAGAACTACATTTGGAGGGCTCAGAGGAGGCTCCATGTAGACACTTGAAAGGAGCTGAGATGGAAGAAAAGCCAAGATACACCAAAGTGGAGATTTTAGGCCTGGGGGATGGCTTGTGTACTTATATAGCGCACAGGTAAGAAATAGCATGTCAGGAAACAGCAATTCTGTTTGCTTGGAACACAGAGTTTGTGAAGAGGGAAGAGTAAGAAAAACTGAGGGCCAGAAACGTTAATTGAATTGGCCTTGCCCAAAGTCACACTGGGAGAGTGACTAGTTGTGATAAAATAGTCACATGTGCCAGTATTTTGTTTGTATCATTGCGTTCATTGTACTGGGTTTTTATTTCTTGATTTTACCATTTTAATTAAGTGGATGAATTTTTTTTTAGAACTTTCAGGTCACTAAGAATTTTTTTGTGTATGTGGCTATATTTTCTACTCATATGTTTTTTCTCTGTTGTCCCAAGAAATTTTTTCAAAGTAGTTTTATGTGTCTTTTTTCTAGCAATACTGAACAATAAACATCATAAATTTATCCGCTTCTTCACAGCCTTCTTTTAAAACAAGTTTAAAATAGCCCTGCTGTTCCTTCTCACAAGCCAGAAAATATCCTGGGTACAACGAGGATTCAAATTGCATCTTCTCATGGCCTATAACCTTCTTTTGGTAGAATATAAAATCACTTGTTGTAGATGCAATATGATTTGGAGCAGCACCTTCCTATGGAGAAAGAAAAAAAAGATGTTACACATTACATAAGGCCTCAGATAGCCTGAGTGTGTATGATTTATGTACAAATACCATACTGGTTCAGAGCTAAGGCAGAGTGTCTACTATAGAGAAAACCTATTTCTGGGCATGGAAATACTGCTGCCTCTAAGATACACCTTCACCAATTTATTCTTCAGAGAGCTGCCAAATTGATATTCTTCAAACACAAGTCTGACCATGTCACTGTCCTCCTCAAAAAATTCCAATGGCTTCCTCTTCCTAGAGGATAAAATACAAACTTCTCTGGCTTTTAAGACCCTTCACAATCTGGATTCAGTCTCCTTCCAGGCTTATCCACATTTATCTCCTTCATATACTCCTTTTTCTAGCCAAACTGGCCAATTTGCTGTTCTTTCACTTGGCATTGGGTTTGGACTCTTGAACAAGTATATTTCTCATAATTATCCATCAATAAGACAAGTATATGAGGTTCAGTCTTACCTTAAATTGAAGTTCTTTGTTCTGGCAGGACAGACTATAAATCTGGTTTTTACTTCTCACCAAGATGGCTATTGCCAAACCGTTGGGTACAGTCTCTTTGTAGGCTTGCATTATAAATGTAGTTTGGGGTGCATTTGCTGAGGGCAAATATTCATATGAAAATTAGAATCCTATTTAGAAAAAATTGTTTTTAACCAAATACTTAAGGGAGGTTCCTACAAAGACCCTTAACCAATCTTATACTATGTTATTCCAGCAACCCGTATCCTCCATACAGTTGGTCAGAGCTACAAAATGTGTTTTGCCATGCTAATACCCATAGCTTCTGTGAAAGACTGTCCCCAACCTGAAGATTCTGACTGTAGCCTTCAGGTGGCCCTTGGTTTCATTTCTAAACCCAGAGCTATTCTGCAGGGCTCAATTTTACTTAGTATTGGATCTCTGAGGGACAAACCGCTGAATAGATTGGGAGTAGTCAATGCATCCATCAGCTCTCCCTGAAATCCCCAGATGTGAGAACTGATGAATGGAAAAAATAGGAAGCTTACTTAATTTTATGAGGCAAGTTAGGTTCTAGTTAAAAGTAAAAGTATCTGAAATGTTGGTGTACTTCTCTTTGACTTTGTTTTGTAGCCTCTATAGAAAATATCATGGGAAGGCATTAAAGACTATGTTTTACCTCTTAGGTAAAATTCTATTGTAGTGAATAGCATTATCAATAAAGGCTCAGCATGGCAAAAAAAAAAGGCTAATAAGAGCAGTTTTTGTTGAGAGTTACTAGCTAAACTCTGTAATAGGTAAGGTAAGGACTGAGTGAGGCGCACTAGATTGTGATATGAATATTCAATACTTTTGCTCAATCCAGTAAAGATGGACAACAAGAAAAACATGTATTTCTGAAGAAGTTTGTCTTTAATACATGTGACTTATTCTCCATTAGTTTTAGTGAAGGTATTAGTCTTCGGTAGAAAAGCTTATGTAGTCAAATAGAGCAGGAAGAACCAAGGCAGTGATTTTAGCAGTGATAATTCAAATAAAAAGAATACCTTGAATCTCACAATCAGTCATATCCTCGAGCACAGCTATGTCCATCCCACTTTTTTTCATGAGAACTTGATTGTTCAAGTTTCTTAAGATTGCATTTTTGGGGCCTTCGAGTTTGCGGAAATCATCTGATTCCAGGTGATCTACAGTATGCATTGAATACCCATCATAGAAAGGTAAGTGTATCTTATTGAAAAAATTAACAGGCTCTTATAACAATCATCAGTGTTAATGTCACCTATTGTTTTTAATTGGTCTAAACAAGAGACTTAAAGATATAGAAAGAAGTGCAGTTATTAAGAAATGCAAAGGGCTACTATGTAAATACAAGGGAAGAGGAAAATTTTCCATAGATTGTGTCTCTCTGGCATCCAGTATAGAATGGCGATGGGGGTGGGGTGGGCAATGTGGCTAAAGGGGAGAGGGAGACTGCTTCTGTAATGAAGGTGATAAGAGGCACTTCCAGTCTGCTGGATTAGGGCACCACATGTTTAGCTGGCCACGTACTCTGGCTTCTTTTGAAGTACTGGACCCTTGCTGATATTTCAAGGGAGAGGAATCAATGGACCTATCCCAAACAAGAAGCCAGAACCTGTTTCTTTCTTTCTTTTTTTTCTTCTTATATACCACAGAGTGGATGGCTCCATCTGATTCAGTTGCCAATTATTTTTGTTGCAACCAGCATCATTGGTGACCAATCAGGAATCTTTTCATCATTCCAAAGTAAGAGGCCATCATACTGAAAGGGGTCAGAACTCTTGCCTCATGCTATGAGAGGTAACCCGGAGCCAGAAACTGGGGAGTTTCCCTGATCACCCATGTTAAATTGCTTTAAGAAAGAGAAGTCAATGTCTAGAGGAATCAATGTCTAGTTGGGGAACTAGAGCGAGCCGGGGAGTGGTCCTTCCCTTTAACCACCGGGGCCATCTGTTGTATATATTGCTTATTTATGGAGGTTTACCATCTGAAGACCAACAGCCCAGCAATATCAGGCTGGTTCTTTGTCTCCCTTGGGCCACTTTCCCTAGGGCACCAATGAGAGTGGGGGTAGAAGCAGCAGCATGGGGAATCTTCTTTCTTATGTCCTAGATGACCATACATTCCTCCTTGGTGCCCTGTCTTGTTTCCTAAGAGTGACTCTACCATCCCTTCCTCCATTTTCATGTGCTCTCCAGTTACGTTGCTTAGTGGTATATATTCCCTTCACATAGAATTTTTTTTTAAGAGTTGCAGAATTTCCAAGGCATTAGAGAACACTTAGTAATAGTCTCTCTTTTTCACTTTATGGGGGAAATACTAAACCTATAGAGTTTACACCCATTTCAGAAAGAATATTGGCTTTCCAAATCAAATCTGAATTATGTCAAGTCAGTCTCTTTCCATGCCGAGCATGTTGGTAAAGATGGAATATGTGGGCATGCATTCTCATGCAACTCCCTGTAGATATGATCCAAAGCAGAGAAACAATCATACGTTACCATCATCTTCAGCTTAAGGAAAAAGAGAGAGAGGGAGAAAAAAAAAAGAATATACCATTACATTTTGCTTCAAAGCAAAAACATTTTTATTTTCACCTAGAATTTACTTGTTCACTCTAAATTTATTTAGAATGTGCACTCCCTCCTCTCCTCCATCCCCAAGTGCCACTGGAAAATGCAGATAGCCAAAAATATTATACCAAATGAGATATTTTAGGTTGGCATCTTAGAAAACTGAGAAGTAAAAATTTAAAAATAGGTTTTTAAAGTTCAAAAGCTCAGATTTCTCACAGTCAAATGGAAATGCCTATAAAACAATTATGTTTATTCTTAAGGTAAAGATATTTTATTGGGCACTTGGAATTAAAGGCTTCCCATAGAGCCTGCAATAAAAAAGTTATTTTTACAATATTAATAAGAATACCTCTTCATTTATACATGTAGTCCTTCCTTAGTTGAAATTACTTAAAATTGAAAACTTAAGGGATTCATGTTACAATTTTGCTTTAAGGAATAACACCACCCTGCAAACTTACTAAATTTGGGCTTCTACAGGTCTGTCAATTTACCCAGCTTAGATGCTACTAAGAAGCCTTTCCCAAATTTCCCCTCTCTTTTCACCAACCTGTTGGAAGTGATCTTTCCCACCTTTGAGCTCCACTAGCACTTTGTAACTCTCTTACTGTCCAGATGATAATTTTTAATTTTAATTACATTTGTACCTATCTCTTCTTTCAGGTTATAGATCCTTAATGGAAGTGACTATCTTCTTTACCTTTATATCTCCCTTAGCACCTGGAGAGTGCATTTCACACAGTATATACTCAGTAAATGTTTACTGAATGGAATTTGACAGCACATATACTTATACTGTACTATCAGGGCAAATCTAAAGGTGCCAACTTTTTTTTAATGGAATAAACATTCTCAAATGTTAGAATGGAAGTCAAAGAGAAAATGGGATTTACTCAGTGGGATACCTCACAGCAACTTTTTTGGATGAGTACATAATGAACTTTATGCTGTAGATTTACCTTTGAAGTAAAGTGTACCATCTTGAAACTCTATCTCTACAAGGTCGATAGCATTGTCATCCGGATCACAGTACATTTCATCAGTCATCTTTCTACCTACTGAAAGTATAGAACAGATTGTCGAGAGACAATTGCAATTCCTTGTACATTTTGTATTACCTCCTTATTCAGAAGCCAGAAAATACATTAAGGAGTACACTGGCCAAGACCAGGGGCAGGCAGTCAAGTTCCTTAACTTCCATTGTTGGTTGATAAACTAATCTAACACTGTCATTGGTTAGTGGTTTGTGGCGGAGGGAAGAACAGCATTTTAGGAGAGGTCAGGAAGAACTGAGAAAATCGAGAGAAAAGAAGAAATAGAGAACAAGAGAAAAAAACAATGGGATTCCCATGAGAAAAGATCATAAATAATTGGGATTTTTTTTTTTAAAACTCAAAGAAGAGAGAGGGGATTAATAATAGCCTTTGTCATAATTTTTTTTTTTTTGGTCCAGAACCACATTTTCACAGGCATAGGAAATTCATAGTGAGGATCCTACATCCAGTGCAGATCGGTATCTTATAGTCCTACAGAGACAGCACTGATGGGTTATGGGACTTGTCTAGAATCAGAGGTAGGTCTTGAAACCAGGTCTTTCTGACTTTCTAGCTAATATGCTATGCAGCTTCTCAGTTATAAGAAAGTGGCGGAAAAACTTTGTTAACACTGAAAAGCTCAAAGGTCTTGCCTGTGGTTATCTTTTTGGAAGAAATCACAAGCAGAAGAGTAGAAGGGAAGTTTAGAAATAGCACTCTAAACAAAGAGGGGTAGTATGGACTTGATCTCTTGGGACCCTTGGTGACAGCTGGATCGAGAAATGTGATTAAAACACCTAGTTAACTTCCCCATACACCTAATAGTGTTAGCTTGCTGATCGAAATCATCCCTTTGTTTTATAAATAGTTTCTAGCCTGAATAGGCTAGTTGGAATTTTGTAGGAGAAATACAGTGGCTTCCAGACACATATTTATTCTGCCAACTGATACTTCACTAATAGTGAGTGCTTTTATCGTATTGGGAATTTGGTGTATTGGGCTCTAAAGTAGGCTGTCACTGAAAGGTTAAGTCCATTGATCTCTGGGGACACTAACATGCTAAATTGTATGCTACTAATCAAATATGGATAACTAGTTGACCTTCCTAACTCTGAGTTCAGTGAATCAGGAAGTCTAGCAGATTAGGAAGAAGTAACATGAACACATCTGCCCTGTCTCATAGGCCTCATTCATCAGAAACTACAGAAATTCCTGTGGAGCCAGAAAAGCAAGTTGTGAAAGGAGTGGTCCCTTTGTTTTGTTTGTTTTTGGGATTAGGCAGTGGGGTTAAGTGACTTGCCCAGGGTCACACAGCTAGTAAGTGTTGTGTGTCTGAGGCTGAATTTGAACTCAGGTCCTCCTGATTCCAGGGCTCGTGCTCTATCCACTGTGCCAAGTGGTCCCTTTGTTGAGAAAGTTTGGCAGAAAGTGAGAAGAGCACTCTTTGGAACTTTCCTTACAGTATTAGTGTGATATAGCAAAAAGATTACTGAATTTAGAGTCAAAGGGGTGCTGGGCCTGAAGTCAGGAGGACTCATCTTCCTGAGTTCAAATCTGGCCTCAGACACTGTGTGATCCTGGGCAAGTCACTAACCCTGTTTGCTTCAGTTTCCTCATCTGTAAAATGAGCTGGAGAAAGAAGGCAAAGCACTCCAGTATCTTTGCCAAGAAAATCCCAGATGGGGACAAAGAGTCAGATATGATTGAATATGGGACATCAAGTTGGAGATGGCCAATGAGGGTCACATGGTTACCTGTGCTGTAGGAAAGATCATTTTGGCAGTTGAGTGAAAGAGAGATTGGAGTGGAGAAAAACTTAAGGGCAGGGAGACCAAGTCGGGGACTATTGCAATAGCCCAGGTTAGAAGTCATGACAGCCTGAACTGGGGTGGTGACTGTGTGGGTGGAGTGGAGAGAATGTACAGAAGAGATGTTGTGGAGAAGATTTAACTAAACCTATAGCTCAGAAACCCTTGATGTCATCCTTCATACTCTCTTCCTTTCTTCTAGTTTCTAATGAAGAGGTGATCCTTTGACTTACCCAGGGCCAACTCCTCCAGGAGTAGTATCCTTGATCCTATCCCCTCCCATTTCTTTTGGCACATTGCTCTGCCATAGTCTCTTTCCTTCTCCCCAATCTTCAGTGCTCCCTTTTTACTGGTTCAATCACTGCTACCTACAAACACTCCCAAGTGTTTCTGAAAGTGCCTTTAAATAAAAAAAAATTTATTCTGCCCTTAAATAAAAAATGTCTTGACCCTGCCATCCCTTCTAGTTATTTCCTATCACCCTCTTGTGTACTGCCAAACTCCTAGGGAAAAAAATGTCTTTTCTCATTGCTTCTACTTCTCCTCTCAAATACTCCCCAGCCCTTGCACTCTAGCTCCCACTTCAATTGACATCATCCCCTCCAAAATTAAAATGATTTATTAATTGCTTTTTCTCAAACATCCTTCTTGACCTCTTTGGAACACTTGACACTATTGACTATCCTACCCTCTCCTCCTGGATGTGCTTTCCTTTCTGGGTTTTCATGCTACAGCTGTTTCTTAGTTATTTTCCTGTTTGTCTGACTCTTTATTCTCCTTTGCTGAATCATTTCAGGTACACCTTATCCTAAATATGAGTGTACCCTAAGGTTCAGTCCTGGGTCCTCTTCTCTCTTCTTTTTCCTTCTCTTCTCTTCTCTCTCATCTTTTTTTTTTGGTGACTTCATTGATTCTCATGGATTTAATTATTATCTCTGTAGAGATAACTTCAAGATCTATATATCCATCCATAGTTTCTCTCTTGAGTTTTAGTCATGTGTTATCAGTTGTCTGCTGGACATTTTAAATTGGGTTTCCCATAGGCATCTCAAACTCAATATGTCCATAACAGAACTTGATATCTTTTTCCCTTTCCCATTTTTATCTCAAGTACCACCAACCTTCTAGGAACACAGATTCCAACCTTGGAGTCATCCTAGACTCCTTACTCTCCCTCACCCTCACCCCACACATCCAAATAGTTGTCAAGTATTGTTGATTCTATTCCTATGTATTTCTCATATTTATCTCTTTCTCTCTATTCACATTGTCATCCATTCTAATTCAGGTCCTCTTCGCCTCATGTCTGGGCTATTCAATAACCTCCTAACTGATCTCTTTGACTCATCTCCCCGACATCTCATCCATTCTATACACAACTGCCAAAATGATAGTCCTAAAACCAAGGTCTGAATATGTTACTCCTCTGCTAAATAAACTCCAGTGGCTCTGTTACGTGTAGAATCAAATACAAACTTCTCTGTTTCATATTTAAAATCTTTAACACCTTTCCAGGCATATTCTTTATGTGCATTACTCCCTGCTACACACTCTACCTTCTGGCCAAGCTGGCTCTCTGCCATTCCATTTCCAGTCTCTATGCCTTGCTGTTCTCTTTCTCTCCACCTTTTTCCTCCCTACTGTCCCCCATGCCTGGAAAGCCCTCTCTACTCATCTTGGATTCTCAGAATCCCAAACTTCTTCAACATACAGATCAAATGCCATCTCCTATGTGAGGCCTTACCTGATCTACCCAGGCACGCATGCTTCCCTCCCCCCAACCACCTTGCATTTACTTGGTATATACTTGTATGTTTATGTATTGACTCCTCATATAGAATGTAAGCTCCTTGTGGGCAGAGACTGTTTCATTTCTGTCTTTGTACTCCAGCACGTAGTACAGTGCTTGGCACATAGAAGGTGATTAAGAAAGGCTTGTTGAGTGAAAGAATTTACAGTTGTATTCAGAACACAAAGGAGAGAGAGAAGTCAAAGATGACTCCTAGGTTAGGAGGAACTGATTTTAGCACACCACTAGAGGGTGAAGTAGAATTTATTTCTTAATATACTCTATTCCCTAGTCCCCAAATGATAACTTCCTTAATGATAACTGAAATTCTGCTATTCTTCTCGATTAACCATTACCCTAGTGTTCCTATCTGGGGTAACAAATTAATAAACTAAGTCCCCCATGTATTTGTCTCCCACACATTGTCTCAAGTTTATTAAATCAACAATACTTTGGTAGAATTAATTTGTCAGATATTTTCCATAGAAAGGACTAACAAGTTTGAGGTAACTGGCTATCTGGGGGAGAAAGGGACTATGGGAGGCTGAGAAAGCAGACAGGCCTTAAGGTTGGAAGTGCCCAGGGCAAACCTCAGCTATGTCGCAATTTTGCTTAAGGTTGCTTAGCTTCTTGTCAAAAGCAATTTATTCACCTTATCACTTTATTTTTGTTACTCAGTACTTGAGGTGAGGTAGAAAAACTGGGTCCACTAATATTTTCCTGGCCCCAATTTGATTCTATCACATTCAACAAAGGTAATTTATTATGCAACTATTGTGCGCAAAGTACTATGCTAGATGTTGAGTGAGATTCCTCTGACCTCGTGGACTTTAAATTCTAGTAACTGATTAGCAAGTACAGCTCTTTTTGAAAGGTTTCAACTCAATTTATATATTTAAAAATTTAATCATTATCTCTGTTACCTGGACTGTTGCAATAGCCTCCTCACTTGTCTTGTCTCTCCTGCCTCAAGTCTGTTCCCCATTCCAACCCATCTTCCACTCTGATGCCAAAATGATTTTCCTAAAGCACAGGTCTGACATGCCACCCCTAAACTCCACTGTTCCCTTATTACCTCTCAGATCGAATACAAAGGCCTCTGTTTGGCATTTCCCTCCTCACCTGCACTGCTCAGTTTCCCTAGCTTCCTTCAAGACTCAGCTCAGACCCCACCTTCTGTAGACTTTTCTTGATTCTCCCAGTGCTAGTGTGTTCTTTCCCTGGGAGATTATCATTGATATCATGTATGTACCCATTTATGTATATGTCTGCTCATTAGAATGTAAACTCCTTAAGGATGGGGACTTTAAAAAAAATAAACAACTTTTTCTTTGTATCCTTAGCACTTAGCAAAGTGTCTGGCATATCACAAGTGCATAATAAATGCTTGTTGACTGATGAATATATCATCTGGACAGACATTGAGTATAATTCAGAGGTAGGAATAAAAGTAATATTAACCATTTAAAATGCAAAGGGAAAGGGTAATTCCTCATACAGTAGAAAACATCTGAAGAAAACTAGGATGCAGGAAAATAAAAACTAAGTTATTCATTGGATTTGATCGACCTTCTTAGAACTGAATGAAATAATGCCTATGAAGTCCAAAGCTTGTGTGTGTGTAGGAATCTTTTTTTAATAATTGTAAAAGTTCTCACAATTAGTCAAGCATACTTTGTCCCTTTTATATTGCCTAGAAAGTAGTAACAATAGTCCTGGCTAATAGTTATATAACCCTTTAAGGCTTGCAGAGTGCTTTATATGTGAATAATAATAATAGCTAACATTTATATAACACTATATACCAGACACTGTGCTACGTGCTTTATAATTACAATGGAAGCTTGCACTTTCCTTTTCCCTCAGTAAAACTTTATAGTTCCGACTGCCAGGAGAAAAGGTTAATGTAATAATGAATGTACTTCTCCCCTCTAGGGCTGCAAACAAAGTAGATCAAGCGCCCACCCTCTTTCATACAAGCCTTCTTAACTGTTTATGCATACATGCATGCATACAAACATACTACACACTACATACGCAATACACATACATATACACATACATACATGCATACATACATACATACATACATACATACATACATACATACATACATACACACATTCAGTTCAGCTCTTTCCCTTTTCGGAGTCACAGTCAGCATTTTTAGGTGGGTCCAAAGTGAGTGGGCAGCTCAGCGAGCGTAAGAGAGAGGAACTTAGCGAAGAAGCAGGGAGCCCACAGACCCTTAAAGGTTCGTTCGGGCAGAGGTATAGGCTTAGCTCTAGGACCTAGGAGACTCAAGCCCTGAAGATAGCTTCGGGTGCAGACAGGTGCGGCCACACCCCGCACCGCACTCCCCCCTTCCCCTCCCCCGAAACTCCCGGAGAAAGAAATGGTTCCTACCTTCCTTCAGACAGGTCCGCACTCAAATAACTAACTAATCTTTTCCCAAAATCCCGGAATTGGAGGGCGGGGAGGAGAGAGAAGGGGGAGGAGAATAAAATGTTAAGGAAATGACTTTGACCCTTCATAACCTCCTTAATCAGTCTCGCCTTTTTCGGAGACAGTTCGGTAAGAGTAAACTTTGAGAGCGATATGTTTCTAAGAATCTGGTGAATTTCTTTGTGCAGAGACACCATTTAAAAGACATTTTAGGCAAGAGGTTTCTATCCCTCAGATCTCACACATTCTTCATAATTCATCTGTACTCAGATCAGAATTAACTAATGAATTCTCTCGTTCATTCATTCATTCCACAAGGATTTTTAAAAATAGGTACTGCGGAAAGCTCTGTTTCGTTTAGTGGAATTTCCCACTAATTTTTTGGATATTCCTATTGAGCCAGCTACATTGTGATTGGAACCTAAAAACAAATATGTTAAGGTACCTAAGAAGGAACACTAGAGAATAAAAAGTGTGGGTGTCTGCAATGCAGTCAAGAATATAAGTACTCAAAACTTCCTTTTTTCAAAGTACTGTAAAAAAAAACCAACTTTCTGTTGATTGCCAATGTGACATCACCATCTGCCTTTCAGATATCTCCAACTGGATGTCCAGTAGGCATCTTAAACTCAATATGTCCATTATGGAACTCATAATCTTTCCCCTTAAATCCTTCTTGCCTCTTATTTTCCTTTTTACTGTCTAAGGCAACACCATTTTCCCAGGTCTCTCAAGCTGGCAACCTAGATACCTCCTTCAACTCCTCTCTGTTCCTCTCCCCCTACCCCCATATCCAATCTGTTGCCAAAGCCTGTTGATTTCACCTTTGCAGCTTCTCTCAAACACACCCCCTTATTTCTTCTGACACTACTATCACTCTAGTGCAGGCCCTTATCATCTCATCTGGACCATTTTGCAACAGCCTTCTTGGGGAGGGGTGAGGGGCAGTCTGCCTATCTCCAGTCTCTTCCCACTCCAATCCATCCTCCATTCAGTTACCAGCCAAAGTGATTTTCCCAGAGTACAGGTCAGACTGGGTTACTCCTCCTTCCACCAATAAACTCTAGACTTTTCCTCTGGCCTACAAGATCAGATACAAAATTGTCTATTTGGCTTTCAAAGCCTTTCATAATTTAGCCTCCTTCCTGCCTTTCCAGACTTCTTATACCTTCTTGCACTTACACTTCTTACACTGTGTACTTTTCTATCCAGTGACTCCTTGTTCTTCCATGAACAAGATATTCCATCTCTCTCAGCTTTTTCTCTGGCTGTCCCCCATGCCTGGAATACTATCTCTCTCCTTATCTTCACTTTCTGGCTTCCCTGGCTTCCTTTAAGTACCAACTAACATCCCGTCTCCTACAGGAAGCCTCCCTCAAGCCCTATTAATTCTAGTGCCTTCTCTTAGTTATTTCCTACTTCTTCTGTAGATAGCTTGTTTGTGCTTATTTGTTTGCTTGTTGTCTCTTCTATTAAATTATATGCTCCATGAGGGCAGAGACTGTCTTTTGCTTCTTTTAACTACTGGCTCACTTATTCCGTTTATACTAAAAAGACTGAGAAAAAGTCAACATTCTTTACCACTTTCAATTCTGTTTCTTTGGCCCATTGACTGGATTTATGATTTGACTGATTTATGCAATTATTTATATAATGATATTTCACATTTAATATGTATCATTTTCCTCGTCACTCTTTGAAGTAGTTAGTACAAATATTATTGGTCAGGGAGGTTAAATGATATCCAAAAATCGTACAGCCAGTAAGTGGCAGAGTCAGGAATAGAAGCACAGTCTTCTAACTTGAAGGCCAGAATACTTTTTCTAACACCACATTGGCTCCCTATACATGAAGAATTTTTCCTTGGGAAATCTTTAAGAATAGGCTTAATTTTCACTAAATGCCTATTTGTTTAGGATAATGCAGATATCATACTCTGCGAAGGTTGGTTGAGGGACTAGATAAAATTGAAAGATTGTTGTAATCGAAGTCTAGGATTTTATGGTGCTATGAAAAAAGCAAGTGAGATCTAGAATAAGAGGATTGGGGTTTGAATTCCCGGCTCTACTACTTGGATGGTTGTTTTTTTAGGTTTGGGACTGGTATTTATTTCCTACACACTAAAGAAAGGCTTAACAGAAAAGGCTCTCACAAACTGTTGCTCAATAACAAGAACAGGTTGCAGGGAAATCACTTCTAACCACTGTTGTATTTATCACATCTACAGAAACTTCACCCTATCTAAATATGAAGCTGTTTTGAGAGCTGCTGACCAGGCATTTTACATTTTCCTTCAGTTCCTCATTGTTTCCCTCAAAGTTCGTGGTTTTTGGCAAGTCAGGGCAGGGATAGGGTTCAACATCTATTCTTTTCTTCTAGAGCCCTGGAGTGGTTCCAACTCAGCTTCTCGTGGGATTTAATTCAACAGACTTTTGTTAGGTACTTGCTGGTTATGGGGCACTCTACTTTCAGCTAAAGACAGAAGAATGAAAAACCTGAAATATCTCTGCTCTCAAAGAATTAACATTCTACCAATGGGATACAACATGTACACAGAAAAGATACAAAGTATTGGGGAAGAAAAAAATATTAATACTGTATTCTGTGATTTAGTCCTAAGTCTGCCAGAAGCAATTTAATTTAATTTTAATATAGAGAGATATCCAAACAAGGATAGTCCTCCTCACCCCACCACACCATGCCCTCGGGCATACCTCTTTACTCCAAGACAATTTGAGAAACTGAGGAAAATTTATAGGAATCTTGAAGAAACTCATACTGTTAAAATACAGTTTAGGATTAATATTCCAAAACAATGGTTGCTACTCAGTTCCTTCCCTAAAAGTGTTTTCTCCCCTCAAGTATTCTCTTGGAATAAACAAAGGGATCTCCTCTCAAAAGAGAATGATGGGTTTATAGCATTTCCAGGACAGAGAAGATGACTACCCTAAAATGGGTCAATAGCTTAATTACTTCAGTGGATGGGAAAACAATACAGTTATCCCTTCCACATTTCCACTTTCCCCATCACAGTTTCTATGTATTGGGGGTTGGCATAAGAAATTAAATGGAAATTTTTGAGGAGTTTTGCAGAAGCTGCAGACGACACTTGAAGGCCAGCAGATGACAAAGAAAATGTTTAGAAACTCAGAAATGCATAAAATATATGTATAATATTGCATAATATCAACATATTTTATCTTTTAATATCATAATAATTCAGACTCCTTGGACGCAAAGGGAGGGCCAAAAAATTTATGTGGTTTTTCCAGATCTAGGAGTTACTACAGTCTTAACTCTCCAACTCCTCCTCGATGTGGAAGGGCTAATTTAAACAAGAGTAATGTACTCGTTGTTCTAAATTTCAGTTACCACTCTTAATCTCTTTCCCTAGAAAAAGGCCTTTTGTCCTTGACCTAATCCATCTTTTATATGGGGAAATCTGGAAAGAGATTTTTAGACCAGAGAAATATCATTTCATAATGCATCTAGAGAAACTAAAAAGGAGATTTTAAATATGTTTCCACAATGTATACAAGATAGTACAAATAATTTCAAGAGCAAGAGAGGATTAATAGCTTAGAAAGGCTGTAGGAGGAAGCTAGAGATTCTAAACAATGAAGGAAGGAAACAAGCATTTAGGACAGCTAGGTGGCGCCATAGTGCACTGAGCGCTAGGCCTGGAGTCAGGAAACCTCATCATCCTGAATTCAAATCCAGCCTCAGACACTTACTTAGCTGTATAACCCTGGGCAAGTCACTTACATCTGTTTGCCTCAGTTCCTCATCTGTAAAATGAACTGGAGAAGGAAATGGCAAACCACTCTGCCAAGAAAACCCCAAATGGGGTCATGAGGAGTTGAACATGTCTGAACAACCACAAACATGCATTTATTAAGAAAAACAACAACGTGTGCTAATCTTCACAACAACTCTTGGAAGAGGCTATTATTATCCCCATTTTTAGTTGAAGAAACTGAGGCAGATGGAGCTTAAGTGACTTGCCCAGCATCACACAACCTGAGTGTCACACTGCATCACACAGTGTCTTAGGTTGGATCTGAACTCAGGTCTTCCCGACCCCAGCATTCTATCCACTGCGCCACCTAAACTGAGAGAGTTGGCCTAAATGACCTCTAAATTCCCTTTCAGATTGGAATCTAAATGTCTGAGGCCGGATTTGATCCACACTGCCACCTAGCGGAGGGTGAGGAGGTAGTACCTTCCAGATAAGTGAGCCACCAAAGGGGTGGAGTTCGGAGATTAAGTCTCACATGAGAAACAGCAAATGGGTCAATTTGCCTTGAATGGAGAGTTCCTGAAGGGAAATAATATGAAATATGACTGCTAAGATAGGTGGGCACCATGTTGCAGAAGGCTTTAAATGCCAGGATGAAAATTTTGTATTTTATCCTGGGGAACAACTGAAGATTTTGAGGAAGGGTTGTGATAAAAATAGATCTGTAACTGAGGACTGTCAGTTTGGCAGCTGTGGAAAGGATGGACAGAAAAAAGGAGAGGAGAGTGGCTAGGAGGCTACTGAAGTAGTGTGAGAGGTGATAATGGCTATGTGAGTGGCAATGAATGTGAGAGATGTTGTGGAGACAGAATCAACCTTGGATGAGTCATTTTTAGCCTTTTTGGGCCCCAGTTTCTTCATCTATAAAATGAGGGATTGGACTAAATTACCTTCCTCTGAGTTCCCTTCTAACTCTAAATCTATGATTTTATGATTAGTGTCCATGTTTACAATGCCAGTCAATTTAAGGCTAAATTTTACAGTTGACATTTACATTCGAAGATGAACATATGCATAGTTTTATGAGGCTTCACAAAAATCAAATAAAGTTGGAGACAAGGTATTTGTAGTGTTTTATACTCTTTAAGTTGTAAAAATTATGTCACTTAAAGAGGCCAAGAAGTACCTTTGAAATGTGTTATTGACAATTGTATTAGGAGGTCATAGGATCTAGAGATGATCTGGTCTAACTCCTCCATTTAACTGATGAGTAAACTGAGGAAAAATGACTTACTCAAGACCACAA